TAATTCATGTCTTTCTCATTTTTTTTTAAATTTTATGTTTCATGTATGATAGTATTGTAATAAATCAAATCTAAAGTTCTTTCTAACAGACATTAACAGAAATGTTTAGGTTTTGAAAATTATTCATAAAACTTCGAACACTGACGACACAATGAAGTTTGCAGAACATCATTAGAGTTACAGATGGCCTTAAAAGTGAGCTACACGATACGTTACGATATTACTTTATTGCTATTTATTTTACACAATACAGTAAAACCTCGAATTGAAGCCCAGGGCTTTTTTATTTATTTATTTATTTATTTATTTATTTTTTTGGATGGGCTTCTATTCGAGATGGTCTTTTTTTTTAAATCAGTAACTTTTTATGATTCTGCAATACTATTGTTTGACTGCTTAATTAACATTTAACAATGTAATATACTAGACTAAACAATTGAAATAATAATTGATGATACTAAATTATTATATAATTTAACAGTGTTAACGGCTATCTTGATTTATATATAATATATATAACAACGTTGTATGCAGATTGATTAAACTATTATGCTCCTAACATTTGTTTTGTTGAGCACTCTATTGAGATAGTACCATTGCTGTTTTGCATTTAGCTGGCCCACTACCGTACTATATGTAGTATACATAATAGTCGTTACCACATTGTTTTTTTTTCATAATGTGGGAACGACTATTAATCTTCGTTCTCATTGCAATCTGTTTATTACAATCAAGTATAGGCCTAACCGATTTTAATTACTCTCATTATAATCCGCATTGTTATTCTTTAACTCCTCCCACTACAGTGGTTATGTGTGTCCACTTTTTGCTAGTTTTCTCATGTACCTTGATAAAGACCTGGGGATAAGTCGAAATATTGGTTTTCTCCAATAAAGTGTTTCTGAAGTCTATACATGGTATTCGTTTCCTATATTCTTTTGTTATATATATATACATACATATATATATATACATATATATACATACATATACATATATATATATATGCATACATATATATATACATACATATACATATACACATATATATATACATATATATACATAAATATAATTCGTGATTTTGATTGTTTTTTCCCTCATGTGAGCCCTTATTTTTCTCTGTGTTATAGTTTTTTCACTTGTTACATTTTAGTAATATTCTATCTTTTAATAATATTGTAATCTTGTAAATCTGCCCGCAAATCAGTTATGTTTTACTGCAATGAATATTTTGTAATAAAAATTGAATGAATGAATGAATGTAAACTTTATTATAACTGTATGCAATCAATATACTGTATAAACTGAAGGACCCCTCAGGATGTAAATTTTATTCATTTTTTGTATTCATGTCGTTCTCATTTTTTTTTCTTTTTTAATTTTCCATGTATGGTATTGTAATAAATCAAATCTAAAGTTCTTTCTAATAGATATTAACAGAAATACCTAGGTTTTGGAAATTATTCAAAACACACACTTCGAACACTGACGACACAATGTGGTTTGCAGAACATTATTAGCGTTTCACATGGCCTCAAAAATGCGATACGCGATACGCTACGATATAGTTTACACAATACAGTAATACCTCGAATTGAAGCCCTGGGCTTTTGTTTCCCCCTTTTTTTTGGTGAGGGGACTTAGGATAGGCTTCTTTTCAAAATGTTTTTTCTTGTTATTTTTAATAGTATCAGTAACTTTTTGTTCTGCAATACTGTTGTTTGACCGATTAATTAACCTTTAACCAATGTAATATACTAGATTTTAAAGAATTGAAATAACAAATTAAAGAGTCAAATACTTACTTGATGAGCCAGTACAAGTAGTTAAAATCCCCAAGAGAATGTTAAATTTGAAGATGAGCATTTTCAACGTTGGCTTACAATTCTTCCTCAAAAGATGAAGGTATAGACATCACTGAAACCGACGTAGCCACTCAATATGTTTTAACAGTGCAGCATTGTGACTTTGATAGTTTATGTATTATTAATCGCTAGAATGAATTCAGCAATCATAATTACAATGCCAGAGATGATTTTTAAATATCTGTAAGAATGACGACATGTTCTCCAAGGGTTTATAAGTTGGTGGGAAAAACAGCAAGAAAAGAAAAAAAGTGAATGTATTGAAATGATTAAAAAGCCACAATCTGAGGTTTATGTTGAAGTGAATGTCTTTTAAAATAACTTATTTATTGTTTACATAAGGATACGTAGTTTTAATTTCATGTCTTTTATACTACTCAATTTCTTGTTACTTTACTTACGTGTGAAACGCGATTTATATCTTCAAAGCTCCTGAAATTCATGTTTTTATTATTATTTTTTTTTTTATTTACATATCATACGCGATGTTTCATGGTTCTCTAATTGATTTTGGTGCTATTAGAAAGGGTCATTCGACCTTAGTGGAGTGACGTCCCTACCCCATGTGCATTATAGTTACTATGAAATAATAGTGCACCCTCTAATCCGGGACCTTCTAATTCCGAGACCCCTCTAATTCTGGACCACTTTTTCAAAGAACCAAATAACAATCATTAATCTTTTAACACAAAGCTAGCCCTCTACTTGGAAACCAAACCCCGATACCACCCCGAATTTTCACGTCCCAAAGGTGGTCTCAAATTGGAGAGCGAACTGTATAAAAAAAAATTGCATATTACTCAGATTCAGATTCAACAACATTTATTTCCATTTCAAAAAATAAAAACACAGGGAACATGGCAGCATCACCTAAAAGGCAACATGCTTGTAGTAAGGATGACATAAACAATATACAAACATTCGACAAAATGTAAATAAGAAATATTGATTCATTGCTTTAACTTAAAATAAGGAATTGCAAAGATGCAAATTACAAAGATTATTATTATATTAAAATAGTGAAACGTACTGGTTTTGTTTTAAATTATTTTATTAATTTATACTGGAATGTTTACCGACACGATGTTCAGTAAGGAAACGTTTAAATTATAATTCCAGGATCAACAAAAAATAAAACAACGTTGAATATAGGCCTATTACAGGTATTAGATCCAGATGCTTTTTGAAGGTAGCAATAATGTAGTTAAAATTGTCATTTTAAGGAACTCAAAAACCGGCAAGTAGTGCGTCGTATAAAAGAATATCAATTGGAATAACAGGAAGGAAATTGGTTACAAATCGAAATACACACTATAAAAATCAAATTACATGAACACCTTAATTACAGTGCACATGGGTAACGGATGTAAAGATATTGTTGCAAAATGGCATTTTGCAGCAATAAAAGAAATTGAATTGAAAATATACGATCTCTACCAAGCAACTTTAATTCTTAGTTGTTCATTTACATGGGACAACAATGCCCCTCAGGTTACTCTAATTATTGTGTGGTATTTTTTACGAGTGATACACACTGCTTCCCAATGTATTTAAAATAGCAATAGTATAAGTATAATAATTATTGTTATTTTATTTACATGTGGTAGGTTGTGGTAAGCCTACATAAATGGCTTACTTTTAAGAAACTGTCTGAATTTAAATCAATCGTAACTTATCGGTACTTGGTTATTATAGTCATTAATATATGTATACAATATTTATTTGTTGTTATATTTATAACGGTGCAAGCTTAACCACAGCAACCATTACAAAACAATATTTCATGTGATGTTACAAACATCTGGTTTGATGTATATTGTATAGGTATAGTATTACTATAATCATTTGTTGCATTATTATTATATTTTATAACAGTGCAGGCTTAAACATTATATAAAGAAGGGAGCAACACAATTTGATACTAGAATATTCTAGAATAAAATACATGTGATATCAACACTGCTATGTTACAATTATATTAATTAATTTTTATATAACACTACCAGATTAACATATATATATAAATATAGTTTAAATTGCATGCACTACTTTTTGATACTGTGTTACAGTAAATAACATAATTCTGTTAATATATTTATTTCTTTTACATTACATTTATAACAGTGCGGACTTACTGTAAACGAATTATTAGATATTACATTTAAAATATAAATAGAAAAAATAATGAAAAAACAGAAGCAAAGAAAACATTTTAATCAAAACACAA